GATTAATTTCCCAGTCAGTGCAGATGAGAACACTTGGGGGAGCTCGTTTGGAAATGCAGGCTCCCAGGCCTGAACACAGACGTATGGATGTAGACTTCCAGGAGTGGAACCTGTATCTGGTGTTTATTAGAGGTTTCCCTGGGATCCCTGATGCCAACACCTGCTGAGAAGTGGTGATGTGGAGAAGCTGCGAGTCTCGAGAACACGAAGTCAGCACGCTATGTTGATGAAATCAGCCAAACATTCTTCTTCAGTTACTAACATTTTAATGTAAAAACTTGTTTTACACAATTAAATAAAATGAATTCCCATAATACACATAGAAATGCAGGTATATAGTTTTAAAATAAATATTTTCTGAAAGAGCTTCATGGTCATCGTTGAGCAAACATGAACATTGAAAATCCAAATGCTACAGCTGGTCTAAATTAGAGATAAAATCTGTGTATCCCAATTAGTAAAAATTTACTGAACATCTACTATGAGCAAACTGCTATACTAAGTATTTTCAGAAGCTACAAAATAATCAGTCTTCTTGCTAAGGCGCTTTAATCCAGTTGAGGGCCAAAGAATTCACACCAGAAGAAGCTTGATAATAATCCCAACCAAACACAAATAACCGTGTACCCCAATTTCCCTCTGGAAGCACTACTGTGACCCCAGTGAATCGCTTTTCGCCTCCTTGAATACAAGTCTGCGTCCCCTTCATCCATTTATCCTTGGTTCCTGATGCCAGTTGCTGTCAAGACTTCATGTTGTGAATTGATGACAATTGTAATTATTTTTCAAACATTGAAATAAATTTAAAAATCAAATTATAGCATAAATACTCTTTAGAGTCCTTTTGTTAGTATATTCATTTACCACGCAGTGTTTCTTATAAGACACCATGCCTACACATTGTAGGACAGTATGAGCAATAGAAAGGTGAACAATCGAAAGGTGAGTTATTAATTTTCTTCCCTTGATAAATTTATCTCACACTCTGGGCTCTGTGGCGTCAGAATACAGGTACTAGTAGCAGCCATCATGACACAGAGCCTTACCATTATATGCAAATGTTGGGGATTTTTTTTAAAAAACCTCTTGTTTATGTTTCTTAAAACAAACCTAAAGTTTGTGCCTAGAGTTGATCCCATTAACCATAGGCGCACAGAGCACATGAGGCAATCCTATGTTAGTATCTGTGCAAAAATAACTTTAGAATAGAATTTACATGTGCCAGAACCCAAACTTCTTCCAGATGTACGCATTCACTGATTTCTGGAAAATTGCTTCTCCGTGCCCTCTCACAGTACGCAGACCACATTATGACACCCAGAGGCCACTCTGCACTTATATGGAATCCATAGCGCTGACTCATGCCGTCACTGTCATCAAAATAATGCTGTAAATATCTTCTCATCTTTCCATGCTGCCTGGCTTATTTTTCCCCTAAGAGGCTTCACACGGGACTTTTTATATAGTTTCCTAATTCCTGCCCTCATTAGTGATTTTCTTCTAAAACTGAAGGAACTCTCATTTAATCAGCTGCTTAAAAACATCATTTTCCCTCCAGGGGCTTTTATTCCTCTTGCATTAGATGGTGTTTATTAGAAAAAGTACTTCTTAATGCATACTTACTATGATTATATATATTTTTTTTCCTTCAGTCAGCTGAAATAACTTGGACTTCCATATTCTTCAGGTTTTATTGAGGCCTGATTTGGAGTGCACTTGGAAGAGCGTGCCCCCTCTAAGCAGAATCAGAGTTTTCTTTGAGAATCAGCCAACAGGGCGGCCTACCCTTCTTCATGGCACAGTCTCAGTACTGATTCTGAATGCTGCATAACAAATTACCAGAAACCTAGTGGCTTAAAACAATATGCATTTGTTATCTTACAGTTTCCTAGGGTCAGGAGTCTGCTTGTGCCTACCTCAGGGTCTCACAATGCTACAAGACCTTGCCTGGGCCATGTTCTCCTTTGGAGGTTTAAATGGGGAGAGTCTGCTTCCAGACTCAGTCAGGTTCTTGGCAGCAACCGTTTACTGGGGTTTGTAGGACTGAAGGCCAGGAACTCTTACTGGCTGTTGGCTGCAGGCCACCTTTATGTCCTGGAGGCCACCCACAGTTCCCTGCCATCCATGGGCAACTCACAATGTGGCAGCTTATGTTTTCAAGTCTGGGAGGGCACTCTCTCTTTGCATCTAGCAAGACGGTTGGTTTGTGTGTGTGCATGTATGTATACACTATGATAATCGTGGGATTGATGTCCTATCACTTTTGCCATATTCTTGCTTAGAAGCAACACACAGATTCCTCCAGCACTTAAGGGGAGGAGATTATCCAAAGGGATGAACACCAGGAGATGGAAATTATTGCAGGGGGTTGGGGGTGTCACTCCAGGGTCTGTCCACTATAATCCCACTGAAATGAAATACTGAGGGAGTCACTCTAAACATGAATGATTTTCATTACTCTTTTGGAGTCTAACTGTCTTAAAGGAAGTTTGTAACTCTCTAAACAAAGTTATTCTTAGTTTTCTTGTCTTGAAAAGTAAAGTAGAAGCCATACAGAAGTTCTTGGGCAAGGCCTGAGAAAGCTGCAGGCTCCAGGAGGGTAGAGAAGATTAAGTCAGAGGAATAATGACCTCAAACATAACAAGAGGTCACGTTTTTTCAAAAATGTATATATCACTAGTTGTTGGTTTGTGTTTGCTTGTTTTGTGATTTATTTTGCTTTGATTTCCTACCAATATTGAGATCTCTGTGTGTTTCATCTGTCTCTCTGTTCAAGTTGGCTGTTTCTGCCAACTTCAGTGGTTCGTGGAACTACCACCTTTCTTCTTCACTCAGTTCCCTTTGCACGACACCCGAATCCTCTGAAGGAGGAGGATTTGTTGCCGCCTGCTTTTGACTTCAGAACGTGAACACCGAGACAGCGCTTCCATCTGTCTCAAACTCGTTAAGTAACTCTTTACCAAGACAAATGTGGATTATAGGTAACAACCTGGGACATGTCTGGTCTCAGAACAGGAAAAGTAAAAGGACTTTTATGTATTATTCTAAGCACTTTGTTTGCTATCAGTGTCTGCGGTGAATGAAAAACTGAACTTAAATTGTGTGGAAAATAGGGAAGTGATTTGCATGCCAATGGCTAAGTGCAGACTTCAGAGACTTCGCAGTTTCGAAACTGATATTTATGAACATCTGCGTTTCCCCCATAAATTCTAGTATGAAATTCATCCTTTGAAATCTACAAAACTCCCAGGTGCTTCTTCAGTCTTTATCTTGGGAACATGCTTTTAAAAAATTCTATTAAGTCTCCTTTTTTTCATTAAACACATTTGAAATCACTTTTGTTGAAACAAGATTGTGTATATACAAGCCTATTGGAATGACTAAAATATGGTATTAAATGTTAGCAACTCAGAAATGCTGTATTCAGCATGTGGAGCCTTCAAAATGTCCAATCCAAGAACATGAGCCATAATAGTCTTAATAAAAGATGTTTGAAGGCATTCATTTCTAGTCCCAGTTTATGCCTTTCATTCTTCCACATGTATTTATTACATATTTGCTTATGTGACAGGCACTTTTAGGTGCTGAGGTTATAACAGCCAATACAACAGACACCCCCCCACCCTCATTGTGTTTATGTTCCAGTGAATGTAAATGTTCCCTAAAAGGAAATCCCTTTGAAATTCTCATACTACCATTTGTATAGTCCATCAGTAAACTTTGAACTAGGCCTGCAAACCAATGTCACTCCATTCCCAACGTTGGACTAGATTCTGGGGATGCAACTGTGAGCAAGGCAGAATATTTCTGCCCTCAAGGAGGTTAGGGTCTAGCATACTTCTCACTTCTGTCAAGAAATGTAGACCAGGTAAACCAGAGCTCTGGGGCAGAATGTGGGTTGCCACTTGAGCATTCTCTATTTTAGATCCACCGTAAGCAGTCCATCCTTCAGCTCTTGGACATACTAGGAGCTGTCACTATGGGTGGAAGATAAGGGTGTATGGACCAGAGGAAAGGAAGTAAAATCACAGCTCAACAGAGGACAAACACATAAGTTGGCTGGGCATGTACAAGTCTAGCAAGGACATTAAATTCCTCTTAGGAATGCAACCTTTTAAGAGTGTGGTTCTGGCCACCCTGTAGCAGAGGATAAAAGTTATTTACATAATAGGAAAGCCTCAGGAGGACAGTAGAGCTATTTAATTTGGTTAGGCTAATAGTTCTCCATCCATTTACAATGTAATGGAACCTCTCTCTATAGAAATACATTGGCACAGTGCCACGGGGCTCATAAAACATGGGCACTCTTCTTGGTGTGTCAATTCTACTCAACCATTTGGAGGGGGAAGGTTAACTAATTTACCAATAAGTGATTTAAGACATTATTTTCCATTAAGACCAATACAGCCATATTATGGAATAGAACGCAAACTGTGCATACACTTTTAAGACAAAGCAAACTACTAAAACAATCCTGGAGCCGAAAGCTAAAGTATTACGCCTTCTTCCATAATTTCCACCAGCCCCCTGCAAAACCAACCTAATAAAAATAATTTTTGATATGGATAATTGATTCTCCTGTTCATGTAAAGGGTACCTAAAAGACAAATCCCCCAATAGTGTTCCTTTCAACCACAGTTGAAAGGTGTCCCTTTCAACTGCTACTTAGATGTCCCTTCTTTGTAGAAATTCTGGAACTGTGGCTAGATGCAAGAAAATTCTGGGCTACTTCAGGCTCTGACCCATCACCACCTACCCTGGTGCCCGGCCCTGGGGCCCATGCTCAGTGCCCTCTGCATTTGAGAGCACTCCCTTGAAAGAGCTTGAGATGCTGCTCTTTCCATAGTGGAGCGAGAGACGTCTTCTCAATCCTCCCACCTCATCCTTAGTACTAAAATTGAACACTGGCCATCCTGCTTCCAGGACCCCTTTCCAGTTTCAGAATCCTATGCAGCAGGCACATCAGCTTATGTTCCCTGTGCTTTGTGTTCCTGAAACAGGATCTGGACCAGGTACAGCTCCATCTGGAAGAAGTGAGGTTCTTTGACGTGTTTGGCTTCAGCGAAGCAGCAGGAGCATGGCAATGCTTCATGTGCAACAACCCTGAAAAAGCAACTGGTGAGAGACACCCCCTTACTGCTAAGAATCATATGCGCCCCTGGGATTGACAGGATCTATGAGCCCCGCTGTTCTAGTTGGCCCCCTTCTTGCATAAACATCCTCAGTTGTAATAACACACAGTAGTGTGCCTGATTGCCTCTGCTTCGTGCTGAGAAAGGTATCTCACCCAAGTGGGAGTGAGAAAAAGAGATGTTGAAAGGGAGAGACACATACACCAGAAATGAGCAAGAGAAACAATACCTTACATATGTAGCTGCCAGGAAAGCAGGTCTGGCCGTTTTGCCCTGGAACTATCTTAATTTCCACCCAAGTGACCCCGAGGTTTGGAGAAAGAGAAACATTCTGTCCAGAGCTTCAAAGAAATGAGACCGCACTTGATGAATGAATGAGCACACTGAATGGCTCATCTACTAGTCACTCCTTACACTTTTGCTTTACAATTAAAATGTGTAAAACTAATTCCTTAAAGAGTAAGAAATGATTTGAGGAATAACTTCATAGCTGGTTACTCATCCTCCCCCTTTCTTTCTGCTGCCCAAGGAATTTAGTCAACTTTCCTTCCCTAAAAATAGTCATTGCTAGTGAATATGAGCCAAGCTCAGTGCTAAACATATCAGATCCCTCATTTAACCATCACAAAAATCATATGAGGTTAGTATCAATATTATCTCAGCCTTTACTGCTGGGGAAACTGAGGCACAGAGCAATGTGATAACTTCCCAAAGTCACACAGGTAATGAGTTCACAGTGGCAGGATGGGGACTCGACCTGCCTTCGGGGCCCACACTCTGAACCATTTCACCCTTCTGCTTCCTGGTCACACTGGCCCCACTCTGACCAATGGAAACTGGTTGGTAATAAGCCTATGTGCAAAAGTTACGCTGTCCTTGGAATATGTCATCAGAGATTTTCCCTCGGAGAGGATGGAATTGCCAACACCAACAGAACTGCAGTGCAGACCAAGAGAGCGGTGTTAAAACACTGTCACGCTAAGGCCACTTCATAGATGAGCCATCCTCTACTCTAGAGAACCAGTGATTATACCCCTTGTACCTGTGCCTTTCATTTTAGAATTTTGTGCAGCTTAGAGATCACCCATTGTGACAAGTCTGTCCTCTTGATAACTGCCAAGATGTTGAGGCTGAATAGAAAGATGAATTGTGTTGATTTGGCCTGATGGGGATGTGAGGGGACTGAGGGGGGGCACTGATGGAAGTGTGTTACCCCACGGGAAAGGTGTGGATGGAAGAAGCTGGCAGTTAAGGATGCAGCCTTTGCAAGGCACGGATTGTTGGCTGATTCGAGTCAGGATTGGAGCTGATGACAGAGTGAACACCCCAATTTTTAAAAAGTTAATTCGAGCCCTGGCTGGGTGGTTCAGTTGGTTGGAGTGTGGTCCCATACACCAAACGTTGTGGATTTGATCCCCAGTCAGTACACATGCCTAAGTTGTGGGTCTGGTCCCTGGTCAGGCCACGGGATGATGGGAGGCAATGAATAATGTTTCTCTCTCACATCAGTGTTTCTCTCTCTCTTCCCCCCCCCTTCTCCTCTCTCTAAAATTAATAAAAAACAGCCCAGGCTGGTATGGCTCAGTGGATTGAATGCCAGCCTGAGAACCAAAGAGTTGCCAGTTTGATTCCCAGTCAGGGTATATGCTTGGGTTGCAGGCCAAGTCCCCAGTGGGGGGTGCTCGAGAGACAACCACCCATTGACATTTCTCTCCCTCTCTTTCTCCCTCCCTTCCCCTCTCTAAAAATAAATAAATAAAATCTTTTTAAAAATTAAAAAAATTAAATTAATAAAAAACATATCCTTGAGTGGTGATTAAAAAAAAGTTGGTTCAAACAAATAAGGAATTGGGGAATTGAATGTCTCCATTATAAACATTTCTAATTTCACCTATGAAAAGAGCCTAAAAGAAATTTTGAGAGCACAGCAAAGTAAGGTGCTTATCAGGTGGCTCTGAGAGGCCCTTCAGAATTCTCATTCAAGTAAGCTGAGTCCTTAGTTCAATAAACAGTTCGTCGAATCTGGCCAAGGGTGGCCTCAGGAAAGGGGCTGAAAGTTAAAAACACAAAGTGTTCCTTTAATATATGTTTTCTCAAATTCACTGCCATGCACTTGAAAAGAATATTTTGCACATTCACTCTTTCTTATTTGTGTTTCTCACAGTTAAATATAGACTGAGAACATATAGCAATAAAAATTCAAACAAGGCCAAATATTTTACAGCAGAGCATATTGAATCAAAATGTTTGGCCCTGAAAACTCCACTGTGCTTGGATTTCTTTGCTCATTTCCTTTCACTACATGAAAGGGGGTTTGAGCCAGGGAGAAATCCTATTTTAAATTAATATTTTCACCAAAAGCTCTTGAATCCCTGAAAAGTTTATATAGGTTGTTAATCTCATCTCCTTATTTTTATATAAGCATATAAATTACATATTTAATCTAAGTGAAAGGTCTAACAAAACACGGATGGCACATATATTATTAATGGAGATAATATTTGCATTCATGTCCTACTTGAATTATAAGTTTAAGGATGACCAGGACATAGGAATAAATATTTTGTGATTTGGTTATGCACAGCTAGCATAGTACTTGCATCTTATTTTTCATTTATGCAATGCACATTTGTTGAGGTTGAATGTCTCCTAGAAGGCATAGATGGAAAAATGAAGCATACTTCCTTGTATATTTTTAGCATGCAATAAATACTTGTTGAACCAGCAAATGAAAGAATAAATAAATGAGTATGAGAAATGGCCAAGCCAAAGCCTTACATATTAAAATATGATGTTTTGGGATTGTAATTATGCATTAACCATGTCGAATACATCACTATTCCATACCCAGTACATTTTGAATCTGATAGATGGAGGTTGGTGTTTGCTTCCTCCTTGAGAGAAGTCACCACAAAAAAAAAGTTCACTTCCCCTCCTGTCTAGTACTGGACATATGTGCCCAAGTCTTCTTACTGCTCTGGACTTTCTCAGTGCCCACGCAGGGTCCAAATGTCCTGTCAGCCACAGGGAGGAGGGTCTAAAGAAATAGGACTGGAGTCTAGGACAAAAGGCTGAAGAAACTGGATTTGAGTTTGTTTGTATGTATGTTGGTTTGTTTTTTAAGGTACTGGCAAATGATACAAAAATTGTTGTCAAGTATTCATTGTTCCAGCACTTAAAAAAATATTTGCAGGAGTGGTCAACACACAATACAATATACAGGTGATATATTATGGAATTGTACAACTGAAACCTATATACTTTTATTAACCAGTGTCACCCCAATAAATTCAATAAAAAAGAAAAATAAATAAAATATTTGCAGCTATTCCATAAATGAGGAACAAAGCATGAGGCAATTGGAACTTGACCTAGACATCCTACAATATAAATGCTTCTTTTTTTTAAGATTTTATTTATTTATTTTTTAGAGAGGGAAGGGAGGGAGAAAGAGAGACAGAGAGAAACATCAATGTGCGGTTGCTGGGGGTCATGGCCTGCAACCCAGGCATGTACCCTGACTGGGAATCGAACCTGTGACACTTTGGTTCGCAGCCTGCACTCAATCCACTGAGCTACGCCAGCCAGAACAATATAAATGCTTCTTAACAGAGTATAGACTAAACTACCGGACTCCAGAAATTGACAGCAAATCAGCTGGCTTACACAGTCACTTTAAGTACACTCCCCTCTTCAGGTAAAAGTCTCATCGCTCCACCAAATCCTACTCATCTTCCCACCAACTCCACCATCAACACACTGAAATTAATAAAAGTTTAATATCTGGTATTCGATAAAATATATTTTTGTCCAATTAGGTGCAGGTGAAGTCCAGGAAACTAAATGCTAGAACAGTGCAAAGGTCCTAAAAAGATTGTAATGGCTGGCATTTATCATGTTAACCATGTGCTCAACTTCACATGCATTTTTCTCATTTTCTTATCATCATCAACTCCATTTTACAAATGAGGAAACTGAAACACCAAGAGGTCATGTAATTTTCCTCAGGTAACAAACACAACCACTAAGCAGTAGAAGTAGGATTTTAATCCAGGTGAATTCTCCTGAACCTGAAACTTCAATCTCTAGGCCACATCCAAGTTAAGGACATGGAGTACTGGAAATTCCAAAAACAATGACTCCATTTCCTGGTCACAAAAAGGCCGACGAGTGATCTACCTTCCCCACGACTTATTCTAGTTGAAGAAGAGCAGGGACGTTACGCAATGCCGTGCGAGTCATCACTGCATGTGGGGAACAGTTACATTAGAAGCTATTTCCAGCCCTTCCAATTGCTGATTCAGTTTCTGATAATCATTTTATAAAAGTCCAGAGTAGATTAGAAAACTACTGAAATAACTCAAGAATTCTGGGACTCTTGCCTGCTAAGGTTCATTGCCAATCTCTTTACCCCACAGGAACGGGAGAAGGGAGATTGAGCAAGTAGTTTTAACAGCACAGAATTTATTTCTGGAAAACTAAGCCAATCACTTTTATCAGTCGCCCTCACGTCTTGGAATTGCTGGTGTGAATTAACAGTAAGAGTTAGTCAGCTGGCCATCCTGGAACACATCTGGCTTTTTCTTCAGTCACATTTTTGAAAAGGACTAGGGAAAACTGGGTTATGACTTTCACTCATGTTCCTTGAAACATGGGATGCCTTTGTTCTTACGTCCTACAAAGAATAACAGAGACGGCTCAGTTTTGACCCTTGTGTCTTCCTCTACAAATCTGAGCATTCCTGAGTATGATTACTGTCTGTATCATTAGATATTTAGGTATTGAATGTCATTGCCATAGGAGGTCTCCTTCGGTTATAAAATAAAATGAAAGCATTTTTTCCCGACAACCTGCCATCAAGATTCCTCTTTAGAACTTGAAGTCCAATATTCGTGCTCAAAGAGCATGCTGTGCATTCATTATATCACATGGCCAGTAGAGATGATTTCACAGCTGTATCGGGATAAGAAAAGCCTTTGTAAGGAG